ATCTAGCTGGGGTCATCTAGACCCAGCACTCTCCCCTGCCTATGCAGGGGGTCGGACTCGATGATCTATTGAGGTCCCTTCCGACCCTAACATCTATGAATCTAAGATGTGGCCTCACTAGTGCAGAATAGAGGGGAATAATCACTTTCTTCGATTTGCTGGCAACACTCCTACCAATGCAGCCCAGTATGCTGTTGGCTACAAGGGCACACTGTTGGCTCATATTCAGCTTATTGTGCTCAGCAACTCCCAGGTCCTTTTCTGTAGAGCTGCTACCTAGTTAGTCAGTGTCCTGCCTGTACCATTGCATGGGATGTCCAAGTGCAGGACTTTTCACTTGTCCTTATTGAGCCTTGTGAGATTTCTTTTGGTCCAATCTTCTAATTTGACTAGGTCTCTCTGAATCATAACTCTAACCTCCAGTGTATTTACTACCCGCCCCCCCGCATGGTGTCATCTGCACATTTGGTGAGGGTACACTCTGCCATCTTCCAGGTCATTGATGAAAATATTGAACAAAACCAGCCCCAGAAACGGCTTCTGGGGCACTCCACTTGATACTGGCTGCCAACTAGACATCAAAACATTGACTACTCCCCTCTGAGCCCCTCTGAGCCCGATGATCCAGCCAGTTTTCTATCCACGTTACTGCCCATTCATCCAACCTGTACTTCCTTAGCTTGCCTGAGAGAGTGTTGTGGGAGACCATGTCCAAGTCCAAGGTTTATCATATCAACTGGTCTCCGTGCATCCACAGTCCCAGTCATCTCATCATAGAAGGCAGTCAGGTTGGTCAGTCATGACCAGGGATCCGGGTTTTCTGTTTCCCATGGAAAAATGGAGAAAACCAAGGATTCTGTTTTTATCAGAGAAAATGTGGATTTCCCTTTTTAGCAGAGAAATCCATGGATTCTCCACTTTTGCAAAGGCTGGCACAGCTTCAGCCTGTAACAGCCAAAGGCAGAAAGGGCAGGAAACCCCCAGCCCTGCCCGGAGTAGGAGGGAGAGGGGGAGGGTGGGGCCTGAGCCTCTGAGGCAGCCCAAGCTGGGCTCAGGCTCAGACTCGCCCCTTGCCCCCTCCTGGAGCCTTGAGGTAAGTGGGGCTTGGGGGCTGTGAGGCAGGTATGGGGAAGATGGTTGGGGGCTGAAGGAGCGGGTGGTGCTGCCGGCCCAGATGGCACACCACAGCTGGGAGCAGGGCCATGGGGTGAGGGCAGGGGTGCCCCTCTGTGGCGGAGCTCTGCGGGCAAGTGATGCAGGGCGCAGTGTGGTGGTGCCCGCCATGTGTGGGCCGCACACATGCCACCTGGCCGCCTGCCCAGGGGAGGGGGAAAGAGATGCTGGCATGTGCCTGGAACACAGCTCTGTGGCCAGCTCTGCAGCTGCGGCATGGGGATGCACGCAGGAGGGGGCGGCACTTACCTGGAGGATGGTGACGGCCGCTGTCTACAGAATTGTGATGGTGCTGCATTGGTAGAGTAGTGGGTTCCAGGGTCCTGATGTAGGATTTACATGGTCAAGTATAATTGGCTATCAAGTAGCTGAATGGCACCATGCTGCAGCAGTCTTCACTTGGATAGCAGACAGCAAGCATGGACCTTCAGAAGGTTAGTGCAGTGACACCCTGTGTTGGGCCAGCTAACTTATTTAAAAGATTTTTACTAGACTACTATCTGACTTTGACAGCTCTTTTATTTAGCTTGTGTCAAATTACTGGTTCAAAGGTAGGTTCAGTTCTTGAGTAGGGAGGAGGATTGCAAAGATGGAATACACTTATCATTGTCTTGGTTGCACTTGATTGAAGGTGCCACCTGCTACAGTATTTGTTTGGATTAACCATATTGACATTCAGGGTGGCATCTAGGTCAGAAAATGACCCAGCTTGAGTGCTGAAGTGATATCAACTGTGTAAATGAATTTTGTGAGTGGGTTAGTGCAAGGTCATTATTGTGAACCTTAAAAAATATAGATACAAGTGCAAACTCCTCTGGGAGAAACTGTTTGCGTTTCCCTGTACTTGTTGTATTCTCCATTTGTGCTCTAAACTCTCTCTGAAGGAGAAACAGTTAAATAATGTCAGCCACCAACTCTTAACACCTTGAACAACATATTAGATTGTGTTGTAAACGGCTATCAAGGCCAGAATTACAGCTTCAGTCTTTTTATTTTTTTTCTTGAAAGCTATTTGATATATGTAGTCAGTACCAAAACTTGACCACAGGTGCTATGGCCTTGACAAAATCCAGCTTTTCCAGAACATAAATGTTATTCACCTTTTGATGATGTGTGTTGAAAGATGAGAAACACCAGCACCTTGAAATGTATAGAAATTAGTCAATAGTTGGTTGATAGTTTGCTGTGTAGTGTTCATCTTAGCTTGATTTTTTGGCAGAAAAGTGATCACTGACAGATCCCAGATCTTTAGCAATTTGCCCTCTTTTATAACACAAATGAAAAGCAAGGCCAGCCAGAAATGAGCATACAGACCAAGCTGGTTCAGAAACTTCAGAAATGTGTACCTCTGGCAGTCCTAGGTGTCATATTATTCAGCAGTGTTCCCAGTTCAATGACCACAAATGATTCAGCTCAATTCCAAGAACAGCCCTGCCAATAGAAGTGCCACCATACATTGTGAACATATTGCTTGACACCTTTACCTGTTGAAGCTTTTGCTACATATGAAAGCTGGCTGAATACCCAATTTGGTGCAAATGGTTAGTGAATAAGTGACTCTAGGTGTTCCAAGTTGCTTTAGTAAGTTCCAATGCTTCTTGCTATGTCAGATGAAGTCAAGTATTTCAGTTACCAATTCCTGACAGGCTTACCTGGAAGTGTTCAGCAGAGCATTCAGATGATTGGCTATGTGAGGGTCACTCCATGATTCATATTGCTGAAACACTTCAGAACCTTCTGAGTCAAAGCACGGAGTGTGGATGTAGCACCAGCCCCGAGGGATAGTTGTACACACTGCTTTAAAGATGATACCACAAAACTTGCTATTCTCTTCTTTAATTGAAATGCACTGCGGGGGGCACGGTCAGAATAGTATATTCCAAAATGTCCCAATATTTTCTCAGTTTGTTCTTTGAAAGGTTCACATCAGTTTATTAATGCTCCTGATGACTGGAAGGAATGACTGGCTAGGCTGCAGTACTTCTGAAAAGGGTCTTCTGAACCTGGGGGTAATAAACCACTGTAATCTCAATATGCACCTATGGTATACTCTTTTTGCAACAACAACAAAAAATCAATGCTTAGCTTACAAGGCTTTATTGATAGAATTGTCACTTGCCAGTCAAGGGAAGTGATTCTTCTGTTTTATTCAGCACTAGGGAGGACTCACCTGAAGTACTGTTTCCAGTCTTGGCCCCCATGTTTCAAGAAAGTTTTGGAGAAATTATAAGGAGTCCAGAAGACAGCAGCAAAAATGATTAGAGGTCTAAGAACCATGACTGACATGGAAAGGTTGGAAGAACTGGGATTTTTAGTTTGGAGAAGAGAAGATTGAAGGAGAGGTCTTCAAATACCTGAAGGGTTTTTATACAGAGGATAGTGATTCTCTGGTTGCAGGGCCCAGGATAAAAAGTAACATTTTTAGATTGCACCAAGAGAAATTTGGATTTGATTTAGGCATTTCAGTACTCCTGTTGACTACAAGTTAGCCAAGGCTGAAGTGCTCAATGCCTTTTTTGCCTCAGTCTTCATAGGCAAGGTCAGCTCCCAGACTGCGACTCTGGGCAGCACAGAGGTGAGCAGCCCCCAGCGGTGTAAGAACAGGTTAGGGACTACCTAGAAAAGCTGGATGTGTACAGTTCTATGGGGCCGGATGGGATGTACCCGAGGGTGCTGAGGGAGTTGGCTGATGTGATTAAAGAGCCTTTGGCTGTCATCTTTGAAAACTTAAGGTGATCAAGAGAGGTCCCAGATAATTGGAAAAGGACAAACATAATTAAGTATTTAAGAAGGGGAAAAAGGAGGATCCAGGGAACTGCAGACCAGTTGGCCTCACTTCAGTCTCTGGAAAAAACATGGAGCAGATCCTCAAGGAATCCTTTTCTAAGCACTTGGAAGAGAAGAAAATGATTAGAACCAGTCAGCATAGATTCACCAGGGGCAAGTCATGCCTGGTCAACCTGGTTGCCTTCTATGATGAGACTGGCTTTGTGGATGCGGGGAGACTGGTGGATTTGTACCTTGATTTTAGCAAGGCTTTTGATACAATCTCCCACAGCATTCTTTCAGGCAAGCTAAGGAAGTACGGGCTGGATGAATGGACTGTAAGGTGGATGGAAAACTGGCTGGAGCATTGGGTCCACAGAGTAGTAATCAATGGCTCAATATCTAGTTGACAGCTGGTATCAAGTGGAGTACCCCAGGGGTCAGTCCTGGGGTCAGTTTTGTTCATTGTCTATCAATGACCTGGGAGATGGCATAGAGTGCGCCATCAGCAAGTCTACAGATGACACCAAGCTGTGGGGGGGAGCAGTAGATAGGCTGGAAAGTAGGGCTAGGATTCAGAGTGATCTAGACAAATTGGAGGATTGGGCCAAAAGAAATCTCGTGAGGTTCAACAAGGATAAGTGGCAAAGTTCTGCACTTAGGACAGAACAATCCCATGCAGCAGTATAGGCTGGGGGCTGACTGGCTGGTCAGCAGCTCTGCAGAAAGGGATGTGTGGGTTAAAGTGGACAATAAGCTGAATATGAACCAGCAGTGTGCCCTAGTTGCCAAGAAGGCTAACGGCATCCTGGGCTGCGTTGGTAGGTGTGTTACTAGCAGGTCAAGGGAAGTGACAGTTCCCCTCTATTCAGCCACCACTCCACCTGGAGTACTGTGTTCACTTTTGGGCCCCCTTTATAGAATGGATGTGGACAAATTGGAGAGTCCAGTGGAGGGTGACAAAAATGGTGAGAGAGGTGGGGGACATGACTTGTGAAGAAAGAGTGAGGGAACTGAGCTTATTTAGTTTAGAGAAGAGGAGAGTGGGAGGGGACTTAATAGCCTTCAACTACCTGAATGGGGGTTCGAAAAAGGAGGGAGCTAGACTGTTCTCAGTGGTGGCAGATGACAGACCAAGGAACAATGGTGTCAAGTTGCAGCAAGTGAGGTTTAAGTTGGATATTAGGAAAAACTTTCTCACTAGGATGGTGGTGAAACACTGGTACAGGTTACCCAGAGAGGTGTGGAAGCTCCATCCTTGGAGGTTTTCAAAACCCGGTTAGACAAAGCTTTGGCTGGGATGATCTTGTTGGGGATGGTCCTGCTTTGAGCAGGGGGTTGGACTGAATGACCTCCTGAGGTCCCTTCCAACCCTAATTTTCTGTGATTCTGTGTACTTATAGCCCTTGCTGAATTCAAGCCTTATTATTTAATTGTGAATGCACTGCAGCATTTCATTTTACTTAGAGCTGTCATGCTGTCAGTTCTGTGCGGAAAGCTTGGACTGATGGTATAGCTAGGGAAATGACAAATGCAGTTCATCATTTGAATGAATGAGAAAAGCAGGTGGTTTTCAAAGTAATCTCAAGAATGAATTCAATTTTTAAAATGCAAATTAAAAAGATGGTTAAAGTGCATTTTAAATTTTCAAAATGTAAAGAGCAGATTTCACCACTTTTCATAGAAAAGCAAGAGATTTTCCAATAGGGATTCCAGGCACTACTTGGGTTTGTGCTTTTGCTCCAGGCTCTCATTATCATTATGATGGGAACGGCATCCTCCATGACTGCTAATTATTCTGCGTGGTGTAAGGTCTGATTCTCCTTTGCCTTACTATTTGTACACTCATTTACACATGTGCAAAATATATAACATGTTTCCATTCTGGTTTTTACACTCCTTGTTCATCCACTCTGATTTGGTGTAGAGAGCATTTGATGGTGCATTTGTCTGCAATGCTATTTTATGTGTGTGGTAATGAGCTTTATTTATGTACATTTAAAAAGCATTTTCCTTTATAGAAGGCCACAAACCTTAATCTTTTGATTGTCACTTTATTGACAATACTTATATCCACTGTATGAAGTGTTTTATATTTATATTTAAATTAACCTTTGAGGTAAATGAAGACAGCCCCAGGATATAAATCATGCTCAGCATTTTGTATAGTGTGAATTTCTTGGAACTTGACATTGTTGAAGTTTCATGACTATTGACTTTCCCTGGAATTGCTTCACAGTATTTAAATGACTTGCAGTAGGGTTTCTTGCCTTTGAATTTCTTTAATTTCTTGTGGGTTTTTTTTTTTTTTTGGTATGATGTTTGGGTGCTGAGTATATCCCTCTTTTCTAGTCTTTTGTGGTCTAACTGTACAATCTGTGGCTAAAAAGATACGTGAGAATCTTTGAGGCTTGGGGAGTTTAACACCTGACTCTTCAAGACCCTTCAAGAGCCAAACCTCTTCAAGCTTGGTCTTGGTCTCAGAGTAAGTAAATAGAATGTTGATCATAAGAGTGCGTTGGGGAAGAGCAGAAGACTTGCATCATTATCAGATTGTCTTTATTTTATAGCAGTATCTGGCTCAATGTGCTGTTTTTACACTGAATTTTACTGATTACATTGTGATTTTGCTTGACTGCATTATGATGAAGTTGAGTTGGGGTGATACAGTTATTGCAGCAGGATGCTGCTCCATGCTTTGTTATTTTGTGGCTGTCGATAGTGGTGAATTGACCATGCAGTTTTTCGAGGTTGAATACCACTACTCATAACACATCTAAGTAGTTAATCACATGCTAGACTGAATTATTTTGGTATGGAAGAAATGGCATTTAGCAGTCACATTGCAGCTTCTATCTAAATGTAGTGGGCTATAAGTGATGTAGGTTAATACAGCTCCCTAGAAGTTACCAGCTAAGAATCAAGCCTGTTTTCATAGAAACTGAACAGGAAAGCATAAACTTGCTTCTTCTCTACAAAGGAAAGCTCCTAATTAACATTAGTTCTTAACTATCCAATTTTACAGAATGTAACAATTTCTGTTTCTTGCTTTCAGTTGTGTTTAATTTTTACGTTTTGTTCCTAGCTCTTCCATGTTGCATATATCCTTATCAAATTTGCAAATTCTCCTCGCCCAGATCTCTGGGTGTTGGAAAGATCAGTGGATTTTGGAGGAACCTACATACCTTGGCAGTATTTTGCTCGTGAGTATTTTCTTTAATCACTGCACTTTTATAGGACAAAGCTGCGTTTTACATAATCACAGCAAAACCACCAATAGACTTCTCTTAAGGTTTCAGCTGTAATGAAGTACAATCATCTGAGATATGTTTGGAAATTATCCTCAGTTGATCCCTTGTTCTTAGGCCTTTTGTTTTCAAAATGATGAGTGAGAGGTTGTGCATAAGCAAAATTTGTAGTTGAAAAATGTAGAATCTTTTTGATGAAATTTGTTCCAAAATTTTTTAATAAAGTACGGTAGAGTAACTTTCACTTGGAGAGCCATCAGAAGATCTATTCTTGAAGGTGTCCTCTCTTCAGAGAGAAATCTTTGACAGGATCCATTTTCAAAGCAGGCCAAATTAACTTGACAATACAGCTTCTCATTTAAATTGGTGTTGATCACATCATTAAAATGCACTCTGGTACTGCGGAAATGTAAACTGTGGAAATGTAAGTATTTGTCTTTTTCAACTTGTTCATGTCTTTTGTATATTATAAAGGTGCCTTTCATCCCTATACAAAACTAAACTGAAATACAAGCAATCCACCCTTGAAAAAAGTCATATTTTTAGTGATATTTTGAAACTGTTGCCAGGACATTATCAACAACTTTTGGGGTGGGAAGTAAAGAAGAATGTGCTCACCTATTTCTAATATTGTCAGCATTTTTCTATAATAATATTTCTGTTTGCATAAAGAGATAAGTGAGCATTGACCTAATTTGATTTAGTGGGATACTTCATTTGAAACCATGAGGGACAATTCTTTGTCAATTTATGTGAAAACAATATAAAATCTTGTGTGTAAAATAAAAAATATAAATATAAGTAAATATTTCAGTATGTCAAAAAATCAAATTCTTACTTTACTAGATTCAAAAGCAGACTGTTTGGAACGTTTTGGAAAGGAAGCCAACGCTCCTATTAGGAGGGATGATGATGTCCTTTGCACTACGGAGTATTCTCGGATTGTACCTCTTGAAAATGGGGAGGTAAATGCTATTTAGAAACAGATGAAAATGAACAGCATTATATGTGGGTAGCTTAGCATGAAAACATAATGGCTTTGATTAAAAATTACAATTTTCAGTCAGTTTACAAACCTGGGTGCTTAAAATTAAATTTGTAAATCCTTACTCAGGCAGTCATGGCAATGGCCTGATTTGTATAGAATATGCTGAGAAGTCTACCCTCTCATTGCTATCTGAGAGAAGAATGAGTGCTAAGAACCTCTAAATTAGTCAACTCGTTTAGCTTCTGGACTATGGGTAGGCACCTTATATGAGTTTTAGAATTTTGGCTTATCTTTGAATTGCCACACTGAATGTATTGGGCCCAATTGTTTGAGAATTACTTATGGAAATAAAGATTATAGAGTAATGCATTGACATTTCAGGAGAAATACCTTCAATTGTTAAAAATATGTTTTAAAATGCTATAAGTGTACGCAACAATGTAGTGTCTGTAAAAAAAAACTAGCACAGGTTATAATTCTTTGATTTAATCAAGTGGCTCCTTACCAGTGAGAAACATATATTTTTATTTTGCCTGGAACTATTGTGGGTGAGGGCCTGTGTGTATAATGTTTTCTCACATAGGTTTATCTCCAGTTAAACATTATGTCAAATCTAAATGCAAATTTCTTTGATATTAATGGTTGTTGGAATTTGTTGTTCTTGGGTTAAGTCACTACCAGGGATCCTGGTTTTCCGGGATATAACATCACAAATTGTCTGATTAAAAAAATCACAATTTCATTAATAAAGCCCCTAAAATCTGTTATTAAAATTAAAGGCTCCCCACAGCCCTCCCCGCGCCTGCCCCCCAGCCCTGCTCATGCCTCTCATACCCCACTACAGCCTTGCTGGTGTCCCTTGCCCCCCACCCACAGGCCCTGCTTCTCTAGCCTGTCTGGAAGGGGCCTCCAGCTGCCAGGGCTATGGACCCGGGTCCTCAGCCCCCTACTTCCACTCCCTTCTGCTGCAGGGGGATGGGGCTGGCACAGCACACACTCCTGAGGGGGGCAGAGGGGACCTGCACCCCCCAGATTTGTGTGTGGGGTGGGTGTGGGCGCAGGCTTCTGTCCTGCTGCCCTCCCCTGGGGCCTCTGCAACCAGGGGGTGCAACCCAGCACAGCAGGGAACAGTGGGGCCGTGCAGAGAAGCTGCTCATCACTGCGAGCTCCATGCTGCCCTGGTGCCATGCCTCCTGCAAACGGAGCTGCAGTGAGGGCACTGATGTGGGGTTGTGCCCCTCAAAGCAGGAGGCACATCGCCAGGGCAGCGCGGAGCTCACAGCAGTGAGCAGCTTTTCCGTGCAGCCCTGCTGTGCCCTACTGTGCTGGGTCGCACCCAATGGGCTCCAGAGGCCCCGGGGGAGGGCAACAGGGTGGGAGCTCATGCCTGCAGCCCGTGCCTGCTCCACACACAGATCTGGGGGGTGCAGGTCCCCCGTAACCACTTTGGGAGTGCACACCATGCAGGGAGCCAGCCCCATCCCCCTGCCACTCCAGGTGCCTGTTCTGCTTCCTGCTGGGGCCCTGCAGCCATGCATTGTGGCCCTGGGCCCCAAGTCTCCCCCGCCCCGGCTGGGCAGCAGCCTCAGCCCCAGCCCTGCCCAGCTCCCTCCCTATGGGGGTCTCAATCCCCCTCCCCGCCACTTAACTGCAGGAGCTGCTCTTGCTGCCTGGGGCCATGTGCATAGTAGATGCACATGGTGCCCCTATCTCACTGCCCTCCTCCTGCTCCCTCCCAGCTCCATGCAGGCTGGAACTCTGCAATACTGTTTTCAGTTAACATTTCTGTAGTGATCCAAACACACATTATAAAAATAATTTGTTTAGATGTTTGTTGGCACTATTCTCTATTACATGCTATGAGTTTTCCTAAAGGAGTTGTGTAGTAATTGGGAACTTCAGCATTCTAGTATTATGTAGTTACAGTTTATAATAGCCAGTTGGAAACCTGAATCTGAAGTCCGTTCAGTTATAAATAAATAAACAAACTTTTACTCAGTTGCATACTCATGACTGCTGGGTTGCTGTAGTCAGTTCCTTTTTCTTAAGAAGAGTGTAGAAGCACTTGATTTGGATTAGTAGATAAACCTACTTCCATATGTAAGGAATTCTAAAGCAACATAATGTACTTTCTTTGAAAAGATCATTAGCATACTGCCAGGCATTGGACCTACTAACACTAATTTTTTCCAGAGATATTTATGTCTTAACCTAAGAATGAATGTCCTGAGTAGGGGCCAGTACTTCAAGTTCTGATGCGGGGAAAGCTCCTACTGACGTCATGGGCTGTTAGCAATGGAATTAATAACTGATTATTACTGATCTTTTGTGTAAAAAAGCATGTATCTCTTCAGTGGCTTGTAAAGTAAGCCATTCAAACAGAATGATTTAGTTTATATAAATGTATAATGTAGTTTATCATGTAATAAGTGTTCAGTCATATCTTGGATCACTGGGAATTTATTTAAATATCCAGGTTTCAATATAGATATCACCAGAGCATTTTTAATGAAGCAATGTGACTGTTATCGCTCTAGATATAATTAGACAAAATAGTAAATTTTTGGAGGCCCACAAATCATTTGGCTGTGGGCCTACTGCTAATAATGGTTGATATGTTTTGACAAAAAATATTTGGTGTTTTATCAGATTGTGGTGTCCTTGATAAACGGCCGTCCAGGAGCAAAAAACTTCACTTACTCTCCCACTCTTAGAGAATTTACCAAGGCAACACACATCCGCTTGCATTTTCTTAGAACCAATACACTTCTTGGACATTTGATATCCAAAGCTCAACAAGACCCCACCGTTACCCGCAGAGTGAGTAGCTTTTTCACAGACAGATATTCAAAAGCTGTCTTCAACATGTTATAGTGAATAGAAAAACTTGAACTTTTCAGATTTGCACAACAGTAACAGCCAAAAACTGGTATGCTCATGCCAATGGCTCTTTCCAGGTCTGCTTGTAAAAGAAAAGTAACTGGAATGAATCAGAATTGTGAGACACTGAAAAGGGCAGGAATGATTCGCATATGATGGGGTTGCAGAGCAGGGCATTATGCAGATTGAAATGGGCTGTAGGGAGAAATATCTTTCTCCTCAACCCTGTAAGCATATTACAGTAGAAGATAACCTGGACTATACCAATACTATTTTATTCTGTTTTTCCTCTATTATTTATAGTAAAGAGGGGCTTCAGGGAAATCATTGTTAGGGAGTCTATGGGTCCACAGTCCTTTCTGAAGGAAAGGGAGTCAAATGGGCTGCTTGTACATGCCATGGTGGGTTAATTCAGTTTCGTTCTCCCTAAATTGAAACAGTGGGTTTTTAAAAACACCGCTTCAATTTCGGGGAATTAAACTGAACTAAACCCTCATGGCATGTACACAAGGGTGAGAGCTCGATCATTACCTGCCTCTCTGGTGGGGGGAGGGGTGGGGTGGAGGAGGGAAAGCTGAGGGTAGGCTGAGCAGTCCCTGAGCTGTGCGGGGGCCTGGTGCTTTCCTCTGTGGCTGCAGGAAGGCTGGTGCTTCTCTCTGTGGTGGCGGCAGCACCCCCCAAGTCACACCCATCTCTGGCACCCAGCCCAGCTGGTCCCGGGAGGCACCACAGCCGCAGAGGGAAGCACTAGACCCCCATGCAGCTAAGGCAGACAGGCAGGCAGGCTCCAGGAGAAAAAAAAAGATCAGGCTCTTTGCCACATTTTTTTTTTTCTTCAGTCAACTTTGCCTGCATGGGCTGCAGCTAGGTCACACAGAGGCAGGAGATGTCTGCGAGGATGGTGCATGGGGTGCTGGAAGCCTGCCAGGCCCCGAGCATGTCAGCTTCTAGCACCCCATGCACTGTTGCGCTTTGTAAGGTAGCAAACTAAAACACCTCAGAGGTGTTTTATCTTGCTATGTTATGAAGTCATTTAAAGTGGAATACGCCACTGAGCGTACAAACAGCAACGCCATTAATGTGGTGCAAAAGGGCATTTATAAAGGCCCATAGAGTATTGCAGAGACACTGTACCAGCATTCCAGTGCATCAGCAACCCTCCACAGGTGATGTGAGATTATAGGACCTTCTTGTAGACCTTGGAAGAAGAAGCCTCTTCCATTTTTGTGGGGAAACACAGTCCAAAGGAATCTCTATGAATTGCAATTCTCCTGGTTCCATGTGGTCATTATTTTTTAAAATTTATTTATCTAAACTTATATTGCTGTAACATTCGGGGGATCAGCCCTCCTATTGGCTAAGGAACAGTACAAACTCCTTGTAGGCTTCTTCAAGAAAATTTAAACAATTCCAGCACACATTAAGTAAGCTTATTGAGTTAAGTGCATCTGTAAGATTTTGCCTCAAGGTATTACTTACAGGCTAAAATAAATGGAGCACTTATGATATTTGGCAAGTAGCATAGCTTCAGCGTAAGAAACTCCTTCTGATGTTATCAGATGGTCTCATTAGCTAGTCATAGGACATATGATAGGTAAATGAAAGGTAATGTGTTTGGTTAAACTGCTGACACCAAGAGCCAACATTTTCATTTCCAGTGCCCTCAACAGACAACAGTAGTTCAGCATTCTGGTGAAAGGCCACTGTGATAAACTCGGCATGTGGATAAATTAAAATCAACCCAGACAGTAGAAGAACTGGGTGGGAGGGCAAGTGAGGCACAAACCCCAGGTGCCAACTGTGAGGGGGTACCAGAATACCCTCCTCCCACTCCAAGAGTCTTTACCATAGTGGGTGCAGCCCTGTGCTGCCCAGCTATGAGAACTGGGTAGGCACAGCCCCGCACCCAGCAGTATATCTGGGGGATGGTTTCATAGTTGGTAGGGTCGGAAGGGACCTGAGCAGATTGTCAAGTCCGACACCCTGCCATGGCAGGAAAGAATGCTGGGGTTAAACGACCCCAGCAAGGTGTCTATCTAGCCTCCTTTTAAAGACCTCCAAAGTAGGAGCGAGCACCACTTCCCTTGGAAGTTGGTTCCAGATCCTAGCCACCCTGACTGTGAAGTAGTGCCTCCTGATATCTAGCCTGAATCTACTCTCCGTCAACTTATGGCCGTTATTCCTTGTTACTCTCCCACTGCCTGCTGGTCTCCCTTGGCCAGTTTATAGGCGGCCACCAAATCCCCTCTCAGCCTTCTCTTGTGGAGGCTGAATAGGTTCAGGTCTCATAGCCGCTCCTTGTAGGGCCTGCCCTGCTGTCCCCTGATTATGCGAGTGGCCCTCCTCTGGACCCTCTCCATGTTGTCCACATCCCTCCTGAAGTGCGGCACCCAGAACTGGATGCAGTACTCCAACTGCGGCCTGACCAATGTCATATAGAGGGGGAGGATCACCTCCTTGGACCTACTCGTGATGCATCTGTGGATGCATGACAGGGTGCAGTTAGCCTTCCTTACTGTGTCCCCACATTGGCGGCCCATGTTCATCTTGGAGTCTGTAATGACTCCAAGATCCTTTTCTGCCTCTGTGCTGATGAGAAGGGAGTTCCCTAGCCTGTAGGTATGCTGCTGGTTCTTTCTCCCTAGGTGCAGTACCCTGGACTTGTCAGTATGGAATCCCATCTTACTCTCATCCGCCCACCCCTGTAACCTGTCCAGATCCAATTGCAGCCTGTCCCTCTCTTCTAGCGTGCCCACTTCTCCCTACATCTTAGTGTCATCTGCGAATTTGAACAAGGTGCTTTTCACCCCCTCGTCCAAATTGCTGATGAAGATGTTGAACAGTGCAGGCCCGTGGACCGAACCCTGGGGGACCCCACTGCCCACATCCCTCCAGGTCTAAAATGACCTGTCCACCACCACTCTCTGGATGCGGCCCTCCAGCCAACTGGCAACCCATCTGACTGTGTAGGCATCGACACCACAATCTTCTAATTTTTTAACGAGAATGGGGTGAGAGACAGTGTCGAAGGTCTTCCTAAAATCCAGAAAGACTATGTCCACCGCAGCACCTGCGTCCAAGGATTTTGTGATCTGGTTATAGAAGGCCACCAGGTTGGTCTGACAGGACCTGCCTCTAATGAACCTGTGTTGGTTGCCCCTATGCATACACTCCCCTACTTGCCCCTTGCAGATGTGCACCTGGATAATTTTCTCAAAGAGCTTCCCCAGGACTGAGGTAAGACTAACAGGCCTATAATTTCCTGGGTCCTCCTTCCTCCCTTTTTTGAAAATGGGGACCACATTGGCCCGTTTCCAGTCCTCTGGCACCTTGCAGAGCACCATGAGTGCTCGTGAAACTGTGCCAGCGGTTCCACAATGACCTCTGCTAATTCCCTCAGCACTCTGGGGTGGAGATCATCAGGACCTGCTGATTTGAACACGTCCAGTCCCACCAGAAGTTCCCTGACTAGGTCCTCTCTGACCCTGGGCCTGGCTGTGCCTCCCCTGGGACCATTGGGGATCCCGGTGTGGGGGATGACCTGGTCCCTGCTCAGAAAAATGGAGGCAAAGAAATTGTTAAATAGGTTAGCTTTGTCGTCTGGTGAGACCACCAGATTTCCAAGCATGTCCTGAAGAGGCCCCACGTTACCTGGATGAGTGTGAAGAGTGAAATAATGCTTCCCCCTGCTCCCTACCCCAGTAAACCTTTGGTAGTGCAGACACATCCCTGTACCCAATAGCATATCTTGGGGGGAGGAGGAGCAAATGGCACATTAGGCAGGTCCCAAGGATCCTGTGCCATGGGACTGCTGCTGATGGAGCTTATGCTGTTACAGCAGTAGTGACTGCCTTCAGTATGTGGAGATCTGGGGGCAGGTAAGACTTCACTCCCCCACTTCTGTCACCTCCTCCCCCAGTTTCCAGTGGTCAGCATAGCCCCACTTCCCTGACCTACCACAGTCACAGCAGAAGCTTGCTATACACCCAGCTTTCTCCTCTATCCAAGTAATGGCCATGCTTCTTTAATTTATGAGTTGATTTCATAATGTTGGGAATTATCTTTACTATAAGCAATGATTTATCTGAATTTTTACAGTTGGACATAGCACAGTCCAATACAGTTTAATCCTCCAAATTAATACAATTTAATCCTCCAAATTGCCTTCTGGAAAAACCTAGAAGTAAATGCATTCACTTACTATGGCATTAATACAATGTCACATACCGTTGGAGAAGGGGGCAGTAACCATTTTTAACTGTGGCAAAGACAACGAGAGCATACATTTTAAATGTGGAGAATGATAATAAACAGTCAGCACAATTAGACATGAATGCATATGTCCAAAAAGAGCCAGTCCAAAAAGTTAAAAAATAATATGGACCAGATTCTCCAGTCTGCTAAGGTCAATTTATCCCATCCACACAATGCAAAGTAGTCTTAAAACAGCTGGCGATGGCCAGCAGATAAGTCTTCCTCTGCAGGGAAGCACTGTGCTGCCAATTACCCTCCTGTCTGGAGAGGGAATGGACATTCTGTGGGTGTTGTGGGCAAGGGGAGTGGGCATGGTGGAGGAAAGCTCTGATATTCCTGACCTTCCATTGACGTAAGGTAGAGCTGCCTCTCCAACTTGGCCAGGAGCCAAGTATTTGAGGGACACAAATTTGCAATTGGCTTTCTTCAGCACTCCCATCTATCAAGCAAAGCATGACTAGGGTGGGGAAAACTACTCTTAAGTTTCTTAAACATACACGCGGGTTACTATAAATAGTCAGAGAGTCAGGCCAAATGATTAAAATTTTATCTGCGGTAGATAGGGATGGTTGCAAGGTGTGGTGATAAGGTGTAAAGTTTTCTCACTCTAGGTCATTAGCTCAAATCTAGGTCAGTCAGAAGTTATGGTAAGTCAGCTGGGGAGTCTTGGTTTGATTGCTAGGGGTCATAATCATGTCACCATTACAACTGGTACCCTTGTTAGCATGTCAGAAAGGTCATTAAAGAAATGTGAATGGAGATTGAATTAGTAGCTTGGCCATTCCCAAGCACAAATGTTGCTCATTGAGATGCACCTGAGCTAGCTTTGAACTAGCTGATAGCAGTGGAGCTGTTACAGTATTGGCTGCTTGGGGCTCTGGGTAAAAATCATGCCTCTGCTGCTATTTCACTATCAGGGCTTGCATTAACTAGTTTAAAACTAACTCATGTAGGTCTACAGAGGCTATAGCTGCACCTTTATATTGCAGTGTAGACCTACTTGAAGATGCGTGAGCAGGGCTGCATGGGGAAAAATGAAGTACCCCTGTCTGTTGTTCCTTGTTAGCAGATAATACTTACCCAAGTAATAATTGGTTCTGCTCCTTCAACACAGATGTCAACAGGAGTTTGACCTTTGGCTAACTGGATCGGGACCTGTGTGAATACATTTGTTTAATAATCTGATAAGCAAACTTTAATGAGACAATAATACCTTTCTGCTGTTATTATAATGCCCATCATACATGCATATATACTTCTCATTTTTGTTTCATAGTATTATTACAGCATAAAAGACATCAGTGTGGGTGGACAATGTGTTTGCTATGGTCATGCTGAAGAATGTGATGCGAAAAATGTTGAAAACTTGTATCAGTAAGTAATCTGAACAGCATACTTCTTTCACTGGCATTTTCAAAGTAACATTTTGTATTATAGTGAAATGCTGATCTCTTACACACTTTTCTTCATGTTATTTTTAAAGTGAAAACTTGATAATGCATTTGATGATATATTGAGTTGCATTACAGTTAAATAGGACAATAAAGTAAATTAGCTCTTTTTCCATGAGAATGAGGGATTTTTTTTTATTACATTAAACCTGGTTGAGATAAGCATCAAACAACCAAAGACAATGGAGTTACTCCAGTTTAACAGCAGTAGAGCTGAAATCAAAGAAGGTCCAGTACCTTGAAAGGTACCAGTCAGAAAAGAATGCTTGGTGTCCTATTATCCTTATAGTTAGAGTGATGATATAACCTCTTAACTGAATTACTGATTATAATATCAAAGAAAAGCACGTCCATCTGTACCATATTTTCAGTGTATTCCTGAGCAAGCAAAAAGCAATTACAAATACTTTTTTGCAATCATTTGGAAATACATCTAGATGTTTGAGAAGTTTCTTATTATTATCACAGATTTGAGTGATTAGGACACTTTAGAGAGAAGCTATTTTTTGGGGAATTAAAATGATTTGACAGTAGAGACAGGCTTAGTAAATTATTCTTATCTACTTTTCTTTACAAACGTGTTTCCTGTGGATTAACTTGAATAAAAGAGGTTTAGCAACACCAAGTATTCTATACTCACAGATAGTACTACAGGAAAGATTCCTTGCCCCATGATACTTTTTGATCCTCAAAAATTTGTCTCTCCCCCAAAGTTAGATTTTACCCCCTGGGAGCCTGTCTGTCCCAGGAAAATGCCTCTGGAACCAGGTTCTTTAAAGCAGGGGTGGCCAACCTGGGGAACCTGTGCCACAAGTAGCATGGGCAACCTCTGTTTATCACATGACAGATTGGGGAGGGAGCAGGCAGTACAGTGATAGATCAAGGACGGAGCAGAAAGCAGAGCAGCAGATTGATAAAGAGACAGGGATTAGAATGGCACTTGGGAAGGAGGCAGAGCTCAAGTTGTGGTATACCTGCCAAAAAGGTTGGCCCTCACTGGTTGAAAGCACAGAGCCCTAGCCAGGCACTTTGGTGCCTAGTAATGCAGAGTGCCCCCCTACGTGCTACTATGTAATAGTGACTGAAGCTTTGCACATCCCTGATTTGATTCAAAAGAGATTTGGCCCAATTCATTGGCCAAATCTATGAATCTGAATCAAACCAGGAGAGCTATTAATCTCTCTGTATCAACACAGAAGTCTCCAAATTGATTCAGAGAGATTCAGAGAGACTCGTTGATTCAGACACAGACACAGCTTTATATGTTTTTTCTACAAACCTCAAGGTACCAGGCAGTTTGTGAACGCTGAGATGCTGGGGTGGATGGAGTGTTCCACGGGAGTGCGGGGAGGGGGGTCCCCAGTGCGCTCGGTGGTGGGCCTGGAAGTGGACCAGAAGCACTTACGGTCCATTTTCAGGTCCACCGCAGAGCGTGCAGGGGACCCCCACCCCCCAGCTCGGTGACTGGTGCCTCCTGGATCTGGGGGGGTACCCAGGGTCCCCCCATGGCTGATCGCTAAGCCAGTGGGTGTGTGTGGAGGGGTCATCTGCTGCTGAGCATGCAGGGGGAGGCCCCCACACTCCTGTGGGATGCTCCATCCACCCCACCATCTCAGAATTCATGAGTTGCGCCTGGTACCTCAAGGTATGTAGAAAAAACATATAAAGCTGTGTCTATGCCCAAATCACTGATTCTCCGAATCGGAATCGAATCTTCATCTTTGGATTTGGCCAAATCAAATCAGGACAGTGATCCGAATCAGTGAATCAAATCACTGTCCCCCAAATTGGGCCGAATACGAATCTGAATCAAATACAGCCCGCTTTGCACACCCCTACTATGTAACATTACTTCCATTTGATTTGGTACTGCCTTATGTGAAGATGATGGGTGTCAGTGTACCACTGGCACTGCCCTTGCTACAGTGCTGCTAAAGCATACTTTTACCCTGTTTATAACACTGCTCCTCCTATTAACCAAGCATTTTGACAGGACCAAGCCATGTTTAACAAAATTCCATGATCAAGTGATGGAAATTTTTGTATGTATTTTTATAAAGAAGGAATAAGAAGGTAGGACCCTTTCAGTGATTCTTTTATCTTGTACAGATGATTTAACTAGTGAAAAATGAGTGCAAAGTGGGTGAAAATATTACCAAATCAGAATAATAATACAGGGAAGTGCCTAACATCCACACTCCTGTCTATGGCACATGGTCACATGTTGTTTCTGAAGTCCAGTTTCTTTCCATCGCTTAACGTTCTCTAAAAGTTCTCACTCCTTTTTAATCAGGAAGACTTGCTGTTTGTGACGGCTTGAAAAAATACCTCTCTAAATTCCCTTATGTTATCAAGGGTGTATGTTATCAAAACACTTTAAAGTGCAATCTTTGTGTATGGACAGATATAACTTTTTAACCCCTCAAAAGGAATGGGGAAGTTGCCACTCTGGGACATTAGCTGTTACCCTGTAACTATTACCTCTGCATACTCTTAGCAATTTCAAGAGCTAAATCATTGCAAATTTAACCATGAATGAAAAGGCTGTACAGGTATTGCTATAGGAGTGTGCAGCAGTAACAGTTACATAATACAGCTTACAGTCAATAGGTTTTCTCTTTGTAACTGAAAAATACTGATGCAATTAATGCAGTTCAGCATTCTCCAGTATGTTATACTCACTAGGTATGTCTACATGAGATGCTTAATGTGCAGAAGACTAATTCTACTGCACCTTAGCGCAGTGGGCAAAGCATGTGCTAATGGGCTAATGTGCAATAGCTTTAGTTTAATGCACAGTAGCATCACAAAAAACCCCCCATTAATCTGTGTTAATGTGCAGATTACTGCTCATTTACTACCTGTCATTACAGGTACTAAACTTTGTGCTGTAATTACAGCTCATTAATTAATATAGATGCGCCCAGTTTGAACAGATGTAAAAAGCTACACCAGGGTCAGAGTGACTATGAATCAAGTCCTTACAGTGTTAGGGCTCTGTTCTTCAAGCATGTACTGTAGTAACTTCAAATAGACCATCCACTATAGTGAGATCTAAGTAGTGAGATGTGTAATCATGAGTGTTTGCAATTTGTAAGTGAACCTTTTAGGAAGGTTATTTAATTAATCAAAATAAGCACAAAATATTTTTTTTTGGTAGGTTATTGTCTGTTGCTGTACTTTTTAGTTATTTCTGATTCTCAATATTCCTTTTTGCATTCTTTTATGAGAAATATGATGAAGCAATTATCTTAGATATACTACAGAGCTCTTATAAAAAGTAGTATAAAAAAATAACAGAAACTTTTCAGTGCAGAGTTTAACGGTGACATATATTTGGATATACTATAAACAGTAGTTTTCAAGCTGTGTTCCACAGAACCCTGAGGTTCTGCAATAGGTCATCAGGGGTTTCTCAAAGAGATTAATGCAGTAGTGGAACAGGCTGGGTCACCTGGCTCTACATCAGGTTACATGGCCCACAGAGCCAGTGGTAGGGGTTCTGCAGCAAATGAAATTATATGAAAGGGTTTTGTGATTATAAGAAGTTTGAAAACCACTGCTATAGAACTTTGAATTTGAGCCTTGGGCTGTGACCTAAATTAAGATTTGTTTTCAATTATTGTCTTTGAAGTATCAAATTTTTAAATTCAATCTTTATTAATTCCAAGTTAAAAATGATCTCTTTATATCATTTGTGCTCATAGGCTCAAAATCATTTGGGTGAGGTAATCTACTGTGATGTATGCTAGAAAAGTTGTGGAAGAATTTGGTGTTACATGTTGACCTCTTTAGCCATGGAACTTAGGTCCTGACCTATTTCATCTTAGGTGTAAATTTTGGATTGTGATAAAAGAAGAAAAATGTAGTTTACATCTTGTTTTATTTAACTGAGAATGTATTTGCTTTCCAGGTTTCAGTGTCAATGCCAGCACAACACGTGCGGGGAAACCTGCAATCGCTGCTGCCCAGGATACAATCAGAAACAGTGGCAACCTGCAACAGCTGACAACACAAATGAATGTGAATGTGAGTAGCACAAAAAGGTGCTGCTTTAAAAGCCATAATCCCAGAAGACTTTGATGTATAAATGGAGCTTATCTACAGTGCAAGTGTGTTCATGCATTATAGCAAACATGCTGCAAGTTTAACACCTGTTTTATTTACTGTGAGCATTCTTCCAGTCTAATAGTCTAGACTGAACAGTGCACTGAAATATTATTTGTATTGTCCTCTTGGTCTTGTTAAACAATGACAATAATTATTACTTGAGCCACTGCAGGACATTAGGGTTCTTTTCCTTCTTTGGGAATCTGGAATATCATACAGACCCTTATATTCCTGAGGCTTTATGGTACTGCAGATGAAGCTGTGCATGCTGGCCAGGGCTGGGGCCCTCCCATGTAAGAGGGTGGGAGTAAAGTGTGCGGGCTGGGCAGGGTACAATTAGTTGGTGGGTGCCAGTGGGCCAGATGAAATCACGTGGTGGACTGGATTGAGCCCACAGGCCATTTTGCCTGCCCCTGTCCTAATCACTCAGTTACTGGGGCTAAAACACAGGAAGGTTCTCCCCTCTCTCCCCTGACTTATACTTCAGTACACATGCATGTGCCTAGCTAGTGCATAGCCTGCTGCACATGCTTAATGCATACTTACACACTTCCATTGTGAGAGTAAGTGTAAAAAATGCCGAAATATGCAGCTAGAATAATATACATTAGGTGCACAAAGGGAAATAAAATTCTGGTCAAAGAGTGCAAATACTATCATCACCATTGGTACAGTTTTCTTGCTGTAACACTCTGTGGCAGAAATACAAACCCATTAGCATCCAAATGAGGACCCAAGATGTCCTGGCTCTTGATTTTCTTCCAAAAGAATGAAACATCTGACAGGCGGGAAGTGAAGACCCAGCTGATCATGCCCCTCAGAAGCACAACAGAATTTAGGAAGGCTGCACCAGGACCTTACATAAGAGAACAGGTTGTCAGAAAGGGTGGCTAGTGCTGCTTTGAAGAGAACAACTCTTCAGTCCTCCATGAAGGCATTTCCATGACTGTAGTATTGTTCTGAGTGAGTACATTGAAGATCCAGAAATCTTATGGGGTGGGTCTCAAAATAAGAAAGTGCACCCCTTTCCCAAAAGAGGGATTTCCTTGTAATGCACCTGGTCTATGAGATGGGTCATGTAGCCAGTCAACAAGCAAACTTGTGTACCAGGGAATATGATCAGTTAGTGCACCTCAAGACAGCCTCAATTATGAGACTTCTCTCTGCAATTTAAAACAGATTTTCCCTGACAAAACTCCAGCGCACCTCCTCTAGCATACATAAGATATTATTGCATTCTTCATTAAGAGGGTATTTGAAGCTGTTTCTCTTTGACTTCTTACCATAATGTGCTAACTACCACAGATTAGGCATTATCCAGACTCTTCTCCAACAATCCTTTTGAACCTGAGTGACTGCCCCTTATATTTAATAGTCATTGAATAAAATGGATGGAGACTAGTGCAGAAGTTTCCACCCCACTGGAAGCAAGTGTCCAAGCTAAATCCTAGGGGCCCCTGGGCAGCAGCCATCCCACTGAGCCACATTTTTTAGTTTGCACTGTTGTTTCTGGCCTCTGTATTGCTCTTGTCTGCCTAGTGGGCCAGCTTCAAACGGAGAGCTGGAAAATGCTTAAACTGCAGTGTGGTGGTTAGAGCACTATGCTGGGAAGTCAGAGAAGCACATACATTCCCTGAGTGAGGAGGACCTGGATCCCAGGCCTCCTGCTTCCTGAGCAAGGGCCCTAACCACTAAGCTTAGCTGCATTATTTTATGTACCTGCATACCTGCCTGACCAGTGCATAGCCTACAGTGCACACTCAATTTATGAATGCATGCTTACATGTACAAAGTGCAGGAATAACATAATTTCCATCTGTCCATAAATGCCAAATATGTCACTGATGCAGTTAGGAACAGTCAGGAAACTGCCATTAAGGTGCACACATGGGAAATAGAATTCTGCCCTTTGTGTATTTCCCTATTTTGAGCAAACATAAAAGATCCTCTTTTCCCATATCACTTTGGCAGGCCCAAAGACAAGTGTTGTGACTGCAAACCCTGTAATTTAGGCACCCCTGTTCAAAAGTCAGGTGGATGTACATTTATATAATCAAAGCAAGCTATAAAAAGGTTGTACTGAGGTGTTATTTTAATCAGAGTTCAGAGATGGCTTGCCAAGATTACTACAGCAAGAAAGACAAACCAAAAAAAAGTGATAGAAACTTCTGATGGGAGTTGGGCATGTTGGGACTCAGTTAATGAACAATATTTGAATTCCTTTCTTTAAAGAGAAAGAAATAGTTGAGGAACATAAATAATGTTAGTCCTTTAAAAGAATTAATGAATAAATTATAATTCATAACATTCCAAGCCAAAAAGTGTTTAGTGTCTAACTACATCAGAAAAGGGGACTCTTACTGCCTGAAAGCTTATGCAAGTTTTAAGTTATTAGCTGAAGATAGTATTCCCCAGGTGCAGACAGCTTTCATTTCCAGTCTGTAGTGGGAGATTAGTGCACCCTTTCAGGGTTTCACAAAAGCTCCATGTCCCTTTGTAGAAACTCTTGACACTCGTATTGAAAATGTCTGGGTCTATAGGAGACCTGCAGACCTGGACAGGCTGGACAAATGGGCAGAAAACAACAGAATGCAATTCAACAAGGAGAAATGCAAAGTACTGCACCTAGGGAGAAAAAATGTCCAGCATACCTACTGCCTAGGAAATGACCTGCTTGGTGACACGGAAGCAGAAAGGGATCTTGGAGTCCTAGTGGACTCCAAGATGAACATGAGTTGGCAGTGTGACGAAGTCATCAGAAAAGCTAATGGCACTTTATCGTGCATCAGCAGATGCATGACGAACAGATCCAAGGAGGTGATACTTCCCCTCTATCGGGCGCCGGTCAGATCGCAGTTGGAGTACTGCGTGCAGTTTTGGGCGCCGCACTTCAAGAGGGATGTGGATAACCTGGAGAGGGTCCAGAGAAGGGCCACTCGTATGGTTAAGGGCTTGCAGGCCAAGCCCTATGAGGAGAGACTGGGGCACCTGGACCTCTTCAGCCTCCGCAAGAAAAGATTGAGAGGCGACCTTGTGGCTGCCTATAAGTTCATCATGGGGGCACAGAAGGGAATTGGTGAGGTTTTATTCACCAAGGCGCCCCCGGGGGTTACAAGAAATAATGGCCACAAGCTAGCAGAGAGCAGATTTAGACTGGACATTAGGAAGAACTTCTTCACAGTTAGAGTGGCCAAGGTCTGGAATGGGCTCCCAAGGGAGGTGGTGCTCTCCCCTACCCCGGGGGTCTTCAAGAGGAGGTTGGATAGGCATCTAGCTGGGGTCATCTAGACCCAGCCCTCTTTCCTGCCTATGCAGGGGGTCGGACTCGATGATCTATTGAGGTCGCTTCTGACCCTAGAATCTATGAATCTATGAGACTCTGGGTACTTTCCATAGCCCTCAGGTTATTTTCATGGCTCCCTAGTATTGTACTTTAAAGCTTGTAGCTGAAAGCTCCTAAAATTGTATTAGGGAGCGTGAAGTCTGTTTATTCACTTGATTGTTAAAATGCCATTACTTGAATCAAAGCAGGTAACTTCACCATTCTCACAGGTACACACTGATGGGCTGTGAGTCCCAGATGTTTTGGGCCATTAATGTCAATGAGACTTTTGGACTCTGGATAATAGAAAATATTCATTTCTGTGTCTGTTTCCGCTCACTTTGTTAGTTAGGTGGCTTGACAACAACCAAACCGCCTCTTATTTATATGCCATTTGTTCTGCTCCATCCCCATTTTTTCTTGTTCCTCTCCAGCCTTTTTGAGAGCAGCGCAGCCAATGACATCTCTTCCATTTTGGCAGTTCTTTTTGTCATGGCCTCTTGCACCTGAATCTTGTTTTAGGTGTCTTGACAAAACTCAGAAAAAGAAGTATAACCCCTAAGTTTTTGAGCTCACAAGCTGAGCCTGTGGTTTCTGTCAGCCCTTCAAAGATATGGCCCATGGCTTCTCAGCCAGGTTTCGTAGTATCTAAAGGAAAAGCTTCTGGCTCTAGAAACCCTTAAGGTTCAAGGAGCTGGAGGAATGTTAGGATATGGAGGATGGTTCAGTGTATCACTTTCTTTGCTTAGAGAAGCAGATAACAACATTTCATAAGGGAGGCTTCATTGTCACCCATTGTATAAAGTCCTGGAGGCACTGAATATTTTCACTGAAGAGGATGATGAGAGAAACTTTATTTTAAATAACTCAGGAAGATGATGATGGTCCCCTTTTTTCCAGGTATGCATAAGTTGAAATACCTAGGGTTTTTAGATATTTCCCAGTAGGATAATTCATTGCTTTTTTCTAGCCAAAAAAAGAAGCTTGTGGAAGCTATTGTGTCCTTAGCTTTAGTTTCTAGGCTTCTTTGCAAGGAATCTCTGCCTCTATGACTGACATTTCTTGGCTAAGAGAAAGGGAGGCATTTTCCCATGCATGAAACTGAACCTCTGGAATTCTCCAGGTAGGTTTGCATGGAGAACTGAATTATCTGTATTTAAGCAGGTCACCTAACTCCACTCATATGTAAGTGGAAAAGAGACCATCACAGTCTTTCTGAGTTATTTAAAACAATTTTTTTATGGTCATTCTTTTCCGTGAAAAAATAACCAAATGGATCTAGGTGGGCTAATAAGGGGTGCAGATGGAACGTGACTAAGGCAAAAGTGGAGGCTGGCCTTTGGTTTGGTATATCTTTTTCCTGTTGTAGTAAGTATCTGCTCAGGCTAAAGTCATGGTTCTGGCTGTTTTCAAAGCAAAGGAAGAAGAGGACAAATCTTTAGATCAGGGTACTCAACCTCTGGCCTGCAGGCCAGATCTGACTCATGGAGCAGTGTCATCTGGCCCACAGGGCTTCTCAAGGGTCTGGAAATTTGGTAGTAGAGCAAGCAATTGCAGTGTTAATTGCTGCTCCCATGCTGCCAAATTTCCAGACCTTTGGGGAGCTCTGTGGGTCAGGTAACATGGCCCTGCTTGTCAGATTGGGCTGGCACAGGAACAGATTGGATGGTACGTGGATCAAATTGGAGGCATTGCATGGCTGGATCAGGCGACACAGATCCAGACTGGGATGGCACGTGGCTGAATTGGGCAGCATAGGTACAGATTGGGGAGGGGCGCAGCTGGATTGCGTGGCTTGGGTCTGGATTGGGTAGCACATAGCTGGATCCAGTGGCACAGGTCTGGATTGGGGCAGCATGGGGTCAGATCAGGGCCATACACAGCTGGATTGGGGTGGCAGAGATCTGGGTCAGGCAGCATACAGCTGGATCTGGCAGCACAGGTCTAGGTCAGGCTGGCGCAGGTCTGAATTGGGAGGTGTGGGTCCGAATCAGAGTAGCACGTGACCAGATTGGGGCAACACAGGTGTGGACTGGGGCAGTACATGGCTGGATCTGCTAGCACGATTTCAGATCAGGTAGCATGCGGCTGGACCCAGTGGCACAGGTCTGGATTGGGAGGTAGGGGTCCAGATCAGGGTAGTATGTGGCTGGATTGGGGCAGCCTGGGTCCGAGTCAGGGTGGCATTTGGCCAAATCAGTCTGTGCAGGTCCAGACCAGAGCATGTTGGATGTGGCCCATGGACTGGTACCACACCACTCATCTGGCCTGCAGAGGCAAAAGGTTGGATACCACTGCTTTAGATGAATGGAGAAAATGGAGATAAGAAATTAGTGTTAGCTGATACCCTGCTTGATGGTCAGTTTAGGATGTAATGATAGGATAATGTTCCCATTAAGTTTCACTGATGTAACAGATCCAAAGGAGACAATTACAGAATATACAATTCTCTCCTGAATAGGTCCATCACCCCTTAGCCAAAATATTTTCAGGAACTATTGAATACTTTGCATCTCTGGCAAATAGGGCCAGAACTTTTTGTCCTGTCGTGGGAATTAGAATGTCATAGGCTTTGCCAAAGGGAAAGTAATAAAAGGCTGTTAAACCTACCAACTTCAATAACTGGCTCTGTAATGCTGTTCAGGTTACAAAGAGGCAGATGTTTACACAAGGCTACAGCAGATCATATTCTGCCTCAGAATCTTTTAAACAAGTGAACAATTCTTGCTGCTTATGATGGTGTGTATTAGGCCAATGTTTGTGGCATACAGAGGCAGCACATTTACTCTCATGGTCCATGAGATATTGTCTCCTGCTGTTCTCTTCTGGTATCATACTGTTTGCTGGATGAACAGCAACTTCAGTCAAAAAGATAATAGTACACACTATTTCTAGAGTTAGTGTAGATTCAAGACTGGTAGGAGCAAATGCAACTCTGTTGCTTTTTGAGTCAAACAAAGAGAGAGAGAGAGAGAAAACCAGCAACCTACCAGGCACCTGAATATGATGCATCACAGCTGAGATTTTAAATCAGTACAGGTAAGGAAAGTTCCTACAGCTACTTCACTCCACTCATTTCTGGAGAAATTGCCTCTTTTGTTACATTATCACATAAATCCTCCAGCTGAAGTCACAATGTTTGTCATCAGCAGGAGTAGGATGAACTCACAATACTAGGCAATATGATAGTCTCTTTGATTAAACATTTCCATGTAAAGAACATATCCTAGGTAAGAGTAAAATTGTGTGTGCTGTATCATTGCTGTTATTGCTGTGGGAGGTGCTCATTGTAAGCCTTGGTTCTTGTGTTCAGCTTATCCATAAGTACTTGTTCTAAAACAGTGGTGCTCAACCTGTAGCCCATAGATCAGATCCAGCCCATGCAGCTGTCTCATCTAGCTTGTGGGACTCCCCAGGGATCTGTAAATTTGGCAGCAAGGGAGCAGTGGTAGCATTAATTGTGCTCCCCTGATACCCTTTTCTGGACCCATGGGACACCCTATGGGCTGGATGACATGGCCCTGTATACTAGATCACACCAGTACACTGTTGGGCCAGTGTGTGGCATTGCTCCATGGCTGGACCTGGGTGCATTAGGTCAGGCCAGTGTACAAGTAGATCTGGGCAAGCAGGGCCAGGCCAGGATATGGGTATATCCGGGCACATGTGGCTGGGCTGATGTGCCAGATTGCATCCTCGGACCAGCTCCACGTGCCAGCCCCATGCTAGATTCAGCCTGTGGACCAGCCTCACATCACTCATCTGCCCCAGGGGCCTGAATAGATTAAGCAACCCCGTTCTACATTTTTGTAGACTCTAAGTTCTACATTTAACTCACAAATACATAGTTTTGAGACAGGGACTGCTGGTCATTTGTTGTCTCCCTCTGATGAGCATGGTAGCCTGGTAGCGCAAGGTGCCAGGTATTTAGAGACTTATGTTGGTCCTGATGTGAAAGAACCTGTGATCTAAAAATATCCTTATATCTAAGTTTGATCATGCTTTTTATGTATATAAAATAAGGAATTACATCAATATAATAAAAGCTGATGTGTTATATTACTTTCCCAGCTTGCAACTGTCACGGACATGCCACTGATTGTTACTATGATCCTGATGTTGATCGACACAAAGGAAGCTTAAACATTTATGGGCAGTATGAAGGTGGAGGGGTCTGCATTAACTGCCAGGTAAAAAGGGGCTTTCATCAGTATAAATGAAGGGAAATAGGATGGTGGGCATAGAAAAATTACTATTCGAAGGGTGGTCTTGTTGCAGGATCATTACAGTCAAATCATTAGTCATGCTCAAGACAATAAATAAGAAGAGTCAGTAAAAGTAACTCATGTTGTTGGAGGCCTAAAAAGTGATCACACAATTATGACCATCCTGCTTTTAGAAAGATCCCACCACTGCAGTCGTTTTGCTCTAAAAGTTAAAGCCAGTTGAAAGAAGGAGAAGAGCTGACACTGCACAAGTCCAGGAGGAAAGGGAGTTGAGGGAAAGCACTTGCCCCTCGGGCTAAGGACTGGAGAAGAAGGGAGCTCTCACTCTCCAGTTGTTTGAGGAGGGAGCTACAGATCCCCTTTACTTTAACACCTGCATTTCTTTAAAAGATAAATGAGACAGTTTCCATGAATTCCACCAAGGATAAGATCAAGGGAGAATAAATTAGACATGATTAAAGTGAGACTGGGGCTTAGAAAACAGTTTCTAACCATCAGAGGAATGCAAGTCTAGAGTGGATTTCTGAGCTAAGTACTAAGAGCAAGGAGATCTTAAATCATGTCAATATGGAGATTGATAAGTTCTTGGAAAGGATAGTATGATAGTGTGGATGATTTTGGAGTTGGGTGCTTGCATTGTAGGATTGAAACCCAAAGCGTGGGTGGCAAGAAGTGTGTTCACTATGTAGATAGCATCTATAATAAGGTGTTGCCTAGTGGCATGGATCTTTGGTTTTGTTGCTGCTGCAAGCAGGACCTAAGCCAAAAAATGCAGTCTCAGGGGTGAAACATGGCTTTTGTACCCTGGGTGAGGCTGACTGTTGGCAAGGTTTTTTGCACTGGAGTGGCAGATTTCCAATATTTTAGGGTTTTAAAGGCAAGCTTGTCTTTCAAAGGCAGGCTTTAGATTATAGCAAATTCTATGGTTTGTCAGTGCAGGTTGGGTATTCACAAGGACCTTTTCTGAACTGGGGGCCAAACTGGCCTTATAGACACCTTCACTTAAGTGTCACAGCATGTAAAAGATAGGCACCTTCTATAGACAAGAGATCTGTATTGACAGGATTGTGCACCTAGGCTCCCTATCCAGTGAATTGGGAGATAAAGGCACTCCCAATAGGGCAATCCAGAGTGTTGTAGTGCTGAGCAGAGTGTTGAGTCAATAATAGGATGGGGCAAACTTCTGCTTTTTTTTCTTTTCTCAAAGTTTAGGCATTTGTCTCAGGGCACCACAGTAGGCACCTCAGCCATGTCTCAGGATCTAGAGCATCAAGAGGGGAGGCAACATCTCCAGTTCATTCCTGAACGCTGGTGGTAGTGCTCCCCATTTGCCCTGTAGCTAAGTAAGAGAACTCTTGTACAGAAAGAAAGATGTAGATTTTAGTTCCTAATTACACCGAGCAGACTCAAACCTGCATCTCCCATATTCTTGGAGAGATGTCCATACAGGTTATGCTCTGTAGAGGCAGGCATTCCCCTGATCAGGGCCAGGGGGCGGGGAATGTTATTTCTGATTTTTAGTTAGTGACTGCCTAATATTCTCACCAGGGTCTGTTTCCTCATTATGTCCCTCATTCAAGACAACTGGACATTGCTTGGTAATTTACACATTATACCTTCAGGTGCTCAGACTGCAATATAGCAATCAATTTAACAACTAAGTTGAGCAGAGTCGAGAAAATGATCTATAGTGAACTCTGCCCTTTCTCCCATTTAGGGAGGGAACATGAGCCTCTTACTGACAGACTAACTCAGGCTAATCACATCCTTAAGTAAATCAAAAGACTTGAGGTTGCCTTGCTGGCTCCCACGCTCAATTGGACCGTGTGCATGCACACGCGTGTGTGTGTAACAACTGCTTGCCACAGGGAGTCAATCCACACCTGAGTACACAGCTTATTCTTACTGCAGAGCCTTGGGCTGGGCTGAATTGACAGGTGATACAAACCTGGAGTTAATAACCCTCCACTGCAAAGGCTACTACTGAATGTTAACCAGTGGGGAAAGGAGACGAATTTCTGGTACCTTAGGGAGCTTTTTCTTTCATCTGCTCAGTTATTCTTGGGGAAGATACAAGCATTAAACAGTTCAGATTGATTTGGAAGACAGTCTTCTCTTTGTTATTATCTGATACACACGCTGACAATCAGCTGAGCAGTTTGACACACAAGGAAAACAATTGTCATCCTACCCAGATTTTCATGAAATAGTTATATTATTGTTGATATATTATCACGTTATTAATTAAATATTTATCTTTGCTGCCAACAAGTAATGACAAGAAGAGGAAACGTTCAACACAGCTATATAAAATATATCCCAGGGGTGGGTAAAATACAGCCTATGCACTGTATGTGGCCTAGAATTGATCCTGTCTGGGCCTCTGGCTACCTCTTAGAGCCTGAAGAGAAAGAGGTGCACCCCTTGCCACTCCACTCTGCTGCAGCCAGGGCTGGGCAGTGCAGCGGATAGATTCTGCACCCCCCTCCATCCCATCCTCGGCCCTGCCTGGCTTCCCATCGGTGCTGTGGCTGTGCAGTCCTGGCATTGTGGCTGCCGGCAGTTGGGTCTGCACAGGATGAGGTGTGATGTGGCACGCTGAATAGCTGTCCTGCCTGCCCACCATGACGAGCCGCTGCTGCCGTGACACCACTACGATGTAAGTCTGTGCTGGCTGCGGAGTTGAGGGGGCTCGGCCTGGGGCAGCAGCTCCTGACTTTCCCATTGCGGCACAGCAGCTCATCACGGTGTGTGGTTGGGACGACTACTTGGTACCCCGCATCATGTCCCATCTTGTACAGGCCTGTCTGCTGGTGGTAACAGTGCTAGGACTCAAGAGCACCAACAAAAAGCAGGGGGGGTCTGCGCTGCACAGCCCGGCCTGGCTCCAGCTGCGGCGGAGCAGAGTGGTGCAGGGTGCAGCCCTCCCTCCTTAGGCTCCCTGTGGCAGCTAGGATCAACTGCCATCTCCCCTCAACACCTCAGCAAATCTCATTAAGTGGCCCTCCAGCCCAAATAATTGCCTGCCCCTGATATATGCACTTTTTATCTTATTGCTAAGTTAAAGTCAGAGATTGTACAAGAGTCAGTTAGGAGCAAGCAAAATTATTTTTACTAAAAAGAAGAGAAGAAAAGCTCTTTGTTTTCCACTTAATATGCACTATGTGGAGCTTTGTTTTCCCAATACTGTAAGATCTGTCATATTGGTGCTTCCTATTAGTTATTTTCTAATTTCTTTTAGGCTATAAAAAGAGCAAAATTGACCTAAATCTATGAGGCTCGACAGTGGAGCTGATGTTGGTTGTCTGTAATTTGATTTTGTGGAAATTAAAGTGGGTTTAATGAATTAACCATGAAATCTAATTATAGCATTTTTTCATAGATTAGGCTCATGGATTTTCCTTTGCTTTTTCCATGTGTGTCATGGAAAAAGTGCTGGAAATGTATGCCTGAATGAAGAACTAATAGAAACTGAAGTATTATACAAGGATAGATATTGTTTCTTTCAAATCTGATAACAAAGCCCTATATATTCTGTTCTGTATATCTTTGTCAGGCAGTATATTACAGAGTTAGTTAAAAAGGGAGAACTGTACTTTCCATCTCAGTGTGTTACTTTAACCACTGCATTGCTTTAGAAGCAAAAAGAGAAGTCTGTAAGGGATTTTATCTTCTAACACAGGAAATCTGTTGTAATTCAGAAGTTTTGACATTTTCTGTGTTCATAGAAGATATTTAAACATTTAAAGGGCTGTCTCTTTGACGTGTAGAAAGGCATATTTTGTGTTATTAATTTTGTTTCTTCTAACCTGATCACATTTTGATTTAATTTGAAACTTCTATTTTTATTAGAATACTTTATTCACAAAAATACACCTTTCAGTATTCTATATGGAAAAAGCCCCCATGGTGCAATTGTCTGAACTATGTAACGATAAGAAAGGATTATTAAAAAGGAGTTAAATAAACATCCAATGGTAATCATGGTTAAAAATAGTATCTTTTTCCCTGATTTAAATTAACATTTTGGCCAACTAGCCTTTTCTGTTGTAAAGTTAACTTTGATCTTGTTTATCTGATACTATCTTGGTTCATAAAGATATCCAGAATTTGGACAGTTAACAAAACCATTCTTGTGAGGCTTTTTTCTCAGGCTGAGCATGTCTGTTGTGGGGTTTAGGAAGAACCTAAAAAATCCACTTTTAGTCCTTTCTTGGGTTATATATTTTCCTACTTGTTTTTCTTCCTCATTTCAATATTTTTCTCTTCCTCCATTCTGTACAGCATAACACAGCTGGTATTAACTGTGAGCAATGTGCAAAGGGTTACTATCATCCCTATGGCATCCCAGTAGAAGCCCCTAATGGCTGCATACGTAAGTCTTTATTGATATTATATCACTGTGGGGTTTTCTGCCTTAATCAGGGCAAGGACTTCCAAAGTGCTCAATTAATTTAGGAGCCAGGTCAAATTGACTTTTTATGTAGTTTAAATGCTTTAGAAAATGTTTATACAAAGCCTAAGGTATTTAGCATATTAAGTAACTGCTGAGAAAGTGGAACTAAGCAGGGGAGAAGAACTGAATTGCCAGTAAGTTTGTAGCAGATGGCAGAAGTGTCTGCCGCTATGTAAACACAAGAAGTGGGAGAAAGGTAAAGACAATCTGTAATGTCAGCTGAAGCAGACCCATGGATGGTTTTAAAACAGCTGTGATAATTTTGACTTGTGGTGATTGGAAAGCCAGTAGTGCTGACAGAGGGTAAGAGCAATGTATTTGCACTTTTTCTCACACAGGAGAATGTGTCCTTCTGCCAGAATCTGGGGCCCTAAAAAGGTTAATTGCTTCAGACAGAGGCAGATAGATGAAGGTTTCAACCCATATGGACAGGAAGTAGTGGCTTCCAAAGAGCAGTAATTTTGAAGTAGTTAGGGAAGGCACAGCTGCTGTGAATTAAGTTATCTGTAAGTCTTAATAATGCTTGGCTACTTTTCATGGCTGTTATAAAATATTTATATAGCACTTTCAAGGTGTGAAGTAATATGTAATTGCTCAATTCTAATATTTATTTAAATAATGAGACGCATGTAAGTGCAGTTGAAATTCCTGTATTAACAATGTTATATTGCTTTACCAAAAAATAAATCAAATCATTTCAAGGAAGTGTTTAACTGATGTTATTGACTTAGCTTGCAGTTGTAATCCAGAATATTCAAGTGGTTGTGAGGAAGGATCTGGTCGCTGTCATTGTAAACAAAATTATCGGGGAGAGAGCTGTGAACAGTGTGCTGAAGGATACTATGATTTCCCATTGTGTGTCCGTAAGTGAGACACTCCTGTCTTTGATAAGGTTCCTGTCATTTTAACATGCATCTGAACAAGAAGTTAATATGCATTGTCTTGCACCTTCAATGTATTTTAGTTCAAAAGCGCTCCACTGCCATTTTCTCAGCGCTGACACATATTTCTCTATTTATACAAATGCCCCAAATGCTCAAGCAATTAAACACATGCTAAGTGCCTAAATATCATAGCAAAGTTACAACTTTTCATTGGAGGATATCTCCAACTGGTATTAAGTAACATATGTTTAGCTCTGGTCAGACTTCTCCATGGTGATAATACAAGTTCAAGATTCCAGCATGGTACAGAGCCTGGGACTGAGAATTTGCTGATTATTGGTCCCAACCCAGGCATTGCGCTGGGGCTGGTTCAGGACTGCCAACAGCAGAGAATCAGCTTGCCCCATGAATGCAGTGATAGGAGTGGCATCTTGTCCCTGATTTTGTTCTCCCTCCTCCCTTCAACAGTTGCAGAGTCCTGGCTCAGCCTGGCATGGCAGTGGCAGGCACTTCTGGCCTAGGCAGTGTTGGGCATGCAGTGGGGAGGGTGTGGGCTCCAGGTATGGGGCATGAATGTTCTCAGATATAGATGTGCAAATTGTGGTGCCAGTGCTGAGGTCTTTGTGTGTGATTGGAGGTGGGGGGTTAACAAATGAGCAAATAGATAGGTATTAATTATCATCATTTCCATTTTACAGAGAGGTTAAAAAGAGAAGGGAAACTTAGACTCGAATCTCAGAGTTTGAAATGTATTTAAGAAATGGATAGACAGTTTATCTGTAAGTTAAGAAGTCATGAATTCTAATCCTAAAGCTGTGGGAAACTCGTTTAACTTTGGCTCAGTTTTCCCAACTGTAAAATGAAGATTATAACACTTTAAACTCATATGACTTCTCACCTGTGGAATGTGACTGAGAGAAAGGGGGCAACTAGCCAGACATTGTCCTTGAGGGCCTCTCAGCGTTGGAATTTTTCCCTATTTTCCTTGATCCAAAATAACCCTTATTTGTTGACTTTCAGGAGAGACTGAAATTAATTGTTTTGCAGTGAAAGATTAGAAAGACACATATTTAAGAAAGATCTTAAATATGTTGGGTTGTTTGGTGTTATAGATACATTAATTAATGATTGAAGGAGTGGTTACAGCATTGCTAATGAAACAGTGCAAAAGGTGCTTGTATAAATCAATAGAAACAAAAATGGAATGATAAAAATGCAGCTGATTATGTAGATTATGACTTTATTCAAAATTGTAATTAAGTTATGTCTAGATCTATCAGTTATTAAAACAATAAGCTAATATGAGCAGTTATAAAAGTTGAAATATTGTAGGGCATCTCAAAATAGCATAGTTTTTTTTCCCAAGAACATGCAAAATATATATTAAAAAAACATAGAATGCCAAAAATGTATATTCACTGCATAAAAGCAATGGTATTAGGAACAGATTCAAACAAAAGAGAACTGTGTTTCTGTTAGTTGATAAGAAAGCTTTTGCCTGGGATTTGGAACTTCGGTTCTGATTCACTGCAGTGGTATTCCAGTTTTACAGCTGTGTAAAGTGATTAAAATCTGTGGAGTTATTCTGCTGCAAAACTGAAGTGAAACAGTGAGAAATCTATCTTTTTTATGTGCAGAATGCCGAAGAAGCAATTGTCAAAAATTGAATGGTGATGAGCCCATCTTATGCAGTAAAACCTCCCAATAAAGTGTAACTTAACTTTTCCAAACATTACTAATCTAACAGCAGGAGATGTGTTGGACAAGCTTTTTGGGCATCAATTACCCAATGTCAGGGCTAAGAAAGTTCCTCTAAGAGCTGAGGAATAGCGCTGTTTGAAAGTTTTTTTTCAACAGCTTTCCCAACTATAACGTTGATTCAATAAAGATGTCACAGAAAATTATTACCTCTTGTACATTTCTTGTCCCATCAACGTGGCAGCAACACTCCAACTATGCTAAACTAAAGGTGCCATATTTCTTGACTTTCAAAGACGTGCTGCTTAGATGGATCCTGATCCTGGGACACTGAAATTCATGGGTGTCTTTGAGTGAGCTTCAAGTGAGGCCCACAATCAGCTGGTGGAGGTGAATCTTCCTGGGGTCATAGCCCTCATTCCTAACCTCATGAATTTCCAAATGGAAATCTGCCCAGAAGCCACTGCAAACATCTTTACTTCAAGAACAAGGAAGAGATAAAGGCATAGCCACAGGAAATAGAATTAGTGGCAACAAACAAAGCTGCAACACTGAAGCCTAGAGTTTTGGGGTTTTTTCTAAACAGTAACATTAGAAACCTGTCTACAGAAGGGGGATCAGCAAGGTAAATTTACTGAATTTGCAGCTGACTTTTGGCCTTCTGAGGCTTTTTTTTTTTTTTTTTTTTTTTGAGAGGGAACAATCAGACCCTAGGTTTGGACTTGGATAGGGGACAGAGAAGGGAAGGACTATTTCATCTTATTGCTGGTTCCTTGTTATCACTTCCTAGAAAACAAAAATCAAAACTGAACATGGTTTCTGGAGTCTTCTAAAGATGATATAGTATTTTTATTAAAAACAGGTGGGTTTTTGGAATGATCTTATGTGAAAGAAATCATCCATTAATTTTTTTTAACCAGTATTCCTATTTGCCTTTTTGTTTATAAGGAATTCCTATTTATACTTTTACTACTCCAATTCCAGAAGATCCTTTGGCTGGACATATAATAGGCAAGTTATTTCTCTTTATTAATATTTAAGAAATGTTTGTTCTCTGTACAGTATAATGTTGCAATTTTAGTTCTATTGCAATAGCATCTTTCTCAGTATTTTTCTTCTTACCAGACATTCAACACACATTCATGTTTGCATTTAAAAATTTGGTAGACTACATTCAGAATGAAATATGGGTAAAAAGAAATCCAGAAAACCTCAGGAAAACACCTGCAAAAGAAGGGGATCTTCTTGCTTGACGCCTTCATGAATAGACCCATCACAATTTTCTGATAGATATACAGTTTGTCAGTTGCTCACCAGTAGTAATCTCTTTACTTAAGGCCACCTAGTCTCTACTTATTGAACTGGAAAATATTGTGTCATACCCTTAGCAATATAGAACTGTTGTAAGAGCTATGGATTTTTTTATTTTAAGATTGTATAAGATTATATATTTCTCATTTAAAGGTCTCATGCAAAACCCATTGAAATCCATGGAAAAACTCTCAGTAACTTCACTGGTCAAGCCCTAACTGAAGTAATGTTTTTTTTTTTAAGTGTAGATTTTCACATTTTAGAACTGAGAAATTATCTTAAATGGGCTCATATAGATAAGTATTTACACTGCATTTTGCTGCTAGTCATTTTAAAATTCTTCTGATCTTTGCAAAATACTAGAAAAGGTATTTTTTCCTTATATTTACTAGCGTTGACTGAGCTTTAGTTTGTTTGCGTGTAGAGAAGGTCTTTTTCTTTTGAAAAGCATTACATCTTTCAAATATGATTAAACATAAATCCATTTACATGTATCCAATTCCTAATAGTTTTTCTTAAACTTAGGCAAAATACTAAATCCTGCTGTGTTCATGCATAGACTTGTTCATTCATGGCCAGTTTCTTTTTGATCTGACTGAGAATGACTTTAGATGCATACTTGTAATAGCTGCAAGTTTGTATTCCTGACAATACAGATTATAAAGGAGTTTGTCAGAGAGGTGCATGCGTGTACACAGTTATTAAAATGGAACTTATGTATGAGTGGCATGTAGTTAAATATGCTGATTAAAAAGGAAGAGTTTGTTTTAACCAGAAGTGACTCCTGATCAGTTTTACTACACTTACATATAAGGATCTTCATGTGTTTATTCACTGACTGCATTTAACTTTTTGTTTTTCCTTTTATATTTGAAGGTGGCTGTAAACCAGGATTTTTTGGCCCTCAGTGTCAGCGTAAGCTCCATCATTTCTTTTGTTTGGAGCCCAAATTCCATACAAATGGCAACATATTATATCCAAGTGTAATGTGAACTGCAAGACTGTAACACTGTTATTTCTCTTTCTTAAATGTTCTGTGTAGCTTGCCAGTGCTATGGCTCAGGAGTTTTGGATGGTGACTGTGATGGAAAGACTGGACAGTGCAGATGCCGGGCTGGATTTCAGGGATTTTCCTGTGATACTTGTGCAGTGGGGTATTTTCATTACCCTGTCTGCCAGAGTAAGCAACAGTATTCTCTTTCAGTAAATAAGATATTGCACCTGCATCCACAAGCATATACCCTTATCTGTGTAGAGTGATTAGTCTCTTTTGGCAAGGTTGGGGCCTTCATCAGTGAATCTGGCTAGGCCAGGGGTGTCAAACATGTTTTGTAGGTCAGAAAATTTGGGGGCATGGCTGGCTACTTGGCCTATGGTCTCTGCAGTTGCTGCCACGAGCACTGCCGATCCGGCCCATGAGGAACCCCGCACTCTGAATATAGCCACCGGCAGAGAGTAAGTTAGCTTCTCTGGGCACTTGTACCTGTGATGGGGTTTAGTCCTCAGGGTTTTATTTTATGCCTCCTAAATTGAAACAGTGGGTTTTTAATTGAAACCCACCATTTCAATATTTTCATCATGTTACGGTGAGGGGCCTGAACTTTGTTTTGTTTTGCTTTTTTTTTTTTTTTTGGGGGGGGGGGGGGGTCGGGCGGGGCAGCAC